AAAAAGAAAAAAAGTACAGATAAGATCATACACGTAGAGATCACTCTGGTGTTTTCTTTTTATTTCTGAGAGTTTCTGAACTTTTTCCATGGTGTCTTTTAGGAAGCCAATGCTGTGATATTGTGTATTATTAGTCCTCAAACTTTTACTGGGGAAATTTTTGTGTGTGTCAGGCTAATTGGATCTATACATGTATTCAGCAGCCAAGAAAATGTAGCCCAGGGCACAGTTCTGAGCTACCTTCCCAATGGAGAAAGTAAAACATGGTCTGTACGTCCGGAGCCTCAGAAAGGATTGTGTAACCTAGAAATGCAATATTGAGAATTTAATTTTCATCTGTTTCATCTGTCTGATTACTGTCTGAATAGTCATTTCTCTTACAGTAGCATGAACAATTCTTTTTCATTCTGCCAAAGCTGGCACACTACTAAGTTTTCTTTGTTAACCTTAAAACCATGTAAGTTTAAAAGCTTACATAATGAAAAATAGGGTGGCAAGGGAAGTGGAAGAGATGGAGTACTCATTGCCTATCTAGCAGAAAATGTCCCCCATATTTTTGGGGTGACATTTAGAACAATCCAGCTCAGTGGAAGCCAGGACAGCGTTCCTATGTCCTCAGCTCCAGGGGGCTTTCCCATCCTTTAAGGCAAAATATAAAAAAATCTTAGCTACCATTTGTAATAACAGTAACTGAAAAATAAATTTTACATGAACCTGAAATAGAAAATAAAGTTCACATGAAATCTCTTCTGGGGAAAGATACCATGTGTATTGCCTAGACACAAATCAAAAGTAGGACTGCAAAGCAATATTGTACATCAGTATAATACCTAACTCCAGAAAATATTGATTTAAGGATGGTGATTAAGCATTACAGTAATAGAATCAGACAAGAAAAGCACACAATTTGAGTGTGTTAACTGCTAGCAGTCCATGACTTCATATTACCAACCATTTTATTTTTTTAAATTTATCATTTTTTCACATTAGCAGGGATTAATAGATGTTGCTTATTTTATTTTCTTCTACTCATAAAATGCCCATAGGGAGATTGAAGGTAAGATCTTCAGATACTTCCAAACATTTTCCGTTAATTTTAGCCCTACAGAAGATGCATAGCTCTCTTTTTGCATTTTCCTAGAGAAAGACAGTATAGGCAGTATAGGCACGTTCCGGCAGCTTATGATGTGGACATGCCTGCAACAAATTACATGTATTGACTGAACAGTAGATGGGAATTTCCCTGTTAGCTTTGTAACGCGGTCCTAGAAAATGGTGCTGAGCAGCTGACTGTGGGTCTTGTTTGGCTTCATCCTCCTACTGCTCTTGCAGCAGAAAAAAATCCAGCCGCGCTAGCAGACCCACAGATTGCGTACGCCACCCCGTGAGCGCTCGGCAGCAGCACAGCGCAGCCCTAGCAATGCCAACCACTCTCCCTGCCTCCAGCTGCAGGCTCCAGAGACTCGTCTTGGGCTCACTAGACCCACCTCTGCCAGAACAATTTTTTTGTCATTTGTTATTCATTTAAATAACATTGCAAGGCTCCGTCTCTAAATACCGATCACTTCGTAGTACGAAGATGTTTTTCGTAGCTTGCGTTTACCCCACATGCCCTCCCACCAGGGCTGCTGCCTGCAGCACAGCCCACAAGCTGCCGCCGTTCCTGAGACAGCGGACTCCGAGATGCAGTTGATTGCGAGAACAAGAACAGCTGCATGTTCTGCTTCGGTTGCACACAGAAACGCACATTTACCGCCTAGCTTATCACAGGGTTTTTATAATTTAGACTATTTAAAAAATTGTCCTTCTTTCAATATTCTTCATAATTCCTGTGGGTGGGAAAGGATGTGGGCTTTTTAAAGATTTTGATCTTTCCTTATGCTGCTTGCCAGATGCCCACCACTTGGCCCACATCTTGGTAATAACCCTGGGCACGTGGTAGCAGCAGCAGCCTTACCAGTGTCGCAGAGAGAGCAGACTGATTTCCTTCACATGCTGTGAAGTATAGCTCACTGTGCTGTGAGGTTTCTTTTCTTCGTAGGCATCAATGCCTGTCTCAAGATAAGCTGTACCCCATTTCCCAAACCTTCTTCTGAGACATCCATCCAGGCAGTTCTTACTCTTTAAGTCATGCAGTTGGCCAACACCACCTATGCAGAGAGACTAGCATCAAGGGGTATCCCTCCAACTCCCCTTTTTTAAGATTTTTGGTTCTACTAGAGAGTTCTGAGTACACTGGCCCTTCTCTTCCAGTTTGCCTTCCAGTTTAACAAGCATACTCTGGTTCTCCAGGGTAGCAATGAAAAATTCTAAACAAACTTAATCCACAAGAGGCTTAAAATAGTACTGTAGTGGGAAGCTAGATTTTTGTGCTCATTTTCACATTTTGGAAAACCCACTGTTTCCTTGAGAAGAGGAAAAAAAAGGATTCTTTTGATGGAATTTGGTTTTTTAGAAGCTCTATTTGTTACAGAGTCAACACCAGACTTTTAGCATAATAACCCACAAGTAGCAACTTGACAGGAAGGCTACAAAGGCAGAAATTGCATTAGGAACATAAAACCTAACTAGGGATGCACAGCTACCACTGGATCCCAGAGATGTTCTTCCCTAGTAATTGCGACAGTCAAGCTAGTAAGAGGGTATCAGGGTAGCTTACCAGTAATTCTCATACTCACTAACTTAAAGATGCTTCCTGGAAGCAGTTTTCATAGAGCAGGCATTTTCACTGAAGTACTAGCTACTTTGGATGTAAGGCTTGTTCCTGAATACATGATAGCAGCTAATAGTTATTACTGGGTATCCCTGCCCAATTCTAAACCACAATCAAATTTTTCTCCCTCCAAGACAACGATGGATCTCCAGTTGCATTTGTGGTTGTCAGTGTCATAGCAAGCTGATAAACCACCTCAGCCACTGAAAGAGGAGGACTTTGGAAAGGATCACAATCAAACCATTAGCTTTATCAGCCATTTGCTGTTTCTCTACATATGCAGAGCGCTGTCATACAGTTCTGGTGTTAAAACAGAGCAGGTGAGCACTCCTCAACCATGTTATTGCTAAGGCACATAACCTAGTTAAGGCACACAGTTCAAATTGCTGCCAGAAAGTTTGGAGTGACCCAGTAGAAATGACATTGGAGCAGAGCTGACAGCTCTCCCAGAAACGATAGTGTTGACTGAGCTTTAGAAGCAGCAGCTGACACCCTGACGTAAAGGAGTAGCAGCAACCTAAAACTCAGCCTACAGCTTTTGCCTCATTTTCTGTGAGAAGTCTTAACATAAGACATTGAAAGATACTTGCTTTCCCCTTTAAGTTTGTAAAATTGGTGGTCGTCTAGGTGGAAGTAGACAAGTGCCATCATGGCTTCCTTTAGAGCTGTGTTACAGGAACGCTAGCAACCATCCTTTAAACACATGTATTCCTGTATCCCAGAAAAGGAAAGACAGTCTTCAGAGAAAGGACAGTGAAACCCTGGAGCAGGTTGCACAGCAGCAGTAGAATCTCCATCCTTGGAGACACTCCCTGTGCGACTGGTCAAGGCCCCGGGCAACCCAAGCTCTGAAGTGGCACTGCTCTAAGCAGAAGATTGGACCAATTGACCTTCAGAGGTCCCTCCCAACCCAAATTATGCTACAATTGAAACCAAATCCACTTAACCTGGTATGTACTTATGGACTAGATCTGCTCCTACCCTAAAGACATGGGGCAGTCCTATTCCCAAACCACAGAAGAGTACAACTCGTAGAGACAGAAGGCATTCTCTCTAAGCATTTAGCTTATCCTCGAAGTTACAGAGCATGCTGGAGAAATTCTTCAAAAGAGCATTAAAAACTGACAAAAATTAATAACAAGAATTGGAAGCTTTTATAAGCACTGCCTTCAGTATCTTCAGTATTTCCGGCTTAAGAGGGACCAGTTCAACCTAGGTCAAATTAGCAGTCAACTGCCAGAGTATCTGTCTAATTAAGTCACTGTAAACCTTTTCAATCAGTAGAAAAATTCTAGCGCTGCACTAGTACAGTTAGTATTAACACTTATTGTGCCCCTCCTCCACTTTCCTGCTTGCTCTAGAACACCCTCAAATTCTCTAATAAACTTTTTTTCCTTATTTTATGCTAAAGAACTGATTGCTTCATTTACCCTAATGACTGAGAACAAGCTGACTTTAGCCACCTGAAACATGAGGCAATGTTGGAAGATGACCAAGTCTTAATCATGATTAACATATATATGTTGATTTCATGGGCAGCAAGATAAATACACGATCACTTGCTAATCATATTTGCTTACAAATCTTCATTCTTTTCATGAAATATGATGTTCCATTAAGCAGAGAAAAGCCACTGAAAAAAAAAAAAATCTATTAGATGAAGGTGCCGAGTTCAACTGAGACTACTTCTAAGCCCCTGAACCTGCAGAGGACAGTGTTATCACCTCTACATAGTAAGAACTGTCACCTTTGGATGATGATCAGGAATCAGATTCCTCTATTTCTAGATGTATTACAGTCAAATTCCAGCAGTTGACAGCAAAGACACAGCATAATCAAGTCCTGAACATTCATTTCCACACAGGTTTAATCTAATCCTAATCATTTATTATAAGATTAATTTGCTCCACTAAATCAAGAAGAGGAAATTTCTATAATAAAGATAAGATACCACTTTCTCACAGGGATTCAGGGCATTTAACTCATGTTTGAAGTACTAACATAAACCACATACAAAGAAAAGAGGCTCACAATTCAAAGATCTGCATATTGATCAACTCAATGGACATTTACTGGAAGTAAAAAGCACTCTAATGTAGAACACATGATACAGTCCAGACCACCACAACACAATGTAAAAACTGCTTTACTGATTGCAGGTAACATGTTACAATTAAATTATGATTCCAAGCATTAAGCCAGCTGCTTATAAGAAGCATAAGCTGCCATTGTAGTCACATGGAATTGGACGAAGAGATGCTAGTCACTGAGCCATCTTGAACTGGAGTCATTTCTGCTTCTTGGGCATTGAAGCAACAAGCAGCTCGTAAACAACATAGACTGTTCCTGAATTAAGAGACAGAAAAGATGTTTTCAGAATGGTAAACAGAATTCCTTTCAAGTCAGCCTTCCTTTCGCAGTTTGTTCCAGAAGAAATATTGACAATAGGCAGTTGCAATTCAGACACAACACATTTCCATAGCCGTGTCTCAACAATTTTTTTTTTTTTTGGCAATTCATATTTTAGAGAAAAAAATCCTTAAATACTTAAATACTCTACCCATAGACTGCATAAAAATAAAGAAACAGGAGGGGAAAAAAAAAAAGGGGAGGGAGAGGGCATGTTTGTGGAACCTACACAGACGATAATAAAGTAATGGTTACTCATTCTTAAAGTAACTGAAAATGCATTAGATCAACATATTTAATTTAGAAGGTATTACAAAACTATGTAATAAGCAATGTAAAGGTTAAATATCTCCATAGACTGCATAAAAATAAAGAAACAGGAGGGGAAAAAAAAAAAGGGGAGGGAGAGGGCATGTTTGTGGAACCTACACAGACGATAATAAAGTAATGGTTACTCATTCTTAAAGTAACTGAAAATGCATTAGATCAACATATTTAATTTAGAAGGTATTACAAAACTATGTAATAAGCAATGTAAAGGTTAAATATATACAGTATCATAAAGCTTGAATATATTCTGCTAGTTCTCACAGCATGTGAAACCTCAGCACATCAAGTATCACCTACTACTAAAAAGAGTTAGGCTAGTGAGAAAACTGGGATATGTATGTGCCATAATTACATTTTACTCCTTTTCAGAATAAGCTTTCTAAGTAGTTCTAGTTTTCTCTAACATCATACATGAATTCTGAAGGAGTGTTCAGCCCATAGTACTATTAGTCAGGGGAAAAAAAGCCATCTGAAAAGCTAAACTTGAGAAAGCTCAAATAAATATATAGTATATCCAAATGTTTTTTTCCCCTCTCTACATGCATTTTGCATGTTCTAAAGAACAGTCTGAAGGAACTGTGTAACTAATTTACTGAGGAAACACCAAACATATTGGAGATTGTACCAAAGAAAAAGTATTTTAACATTAGCGCACTGGAAATTGTACCAAAGCATAAATATTTTAGTAGCAGCCTTACCAAAAACTGCAAGACCCATGGTGACTTTATACAACAGAGCATCCATCACACCACCTTTAAGATGCACTGGGATGCCATTATCCTCCTAATGGAAACAAGTGACAAAAAGAAGCTATTTAAATACAGTTCTTGCAATATTGTGTTAATATAACTAAAATTACCCAGAACAAGAATTACTTCCCCAAATTATCTTCCCAACTCCCAAAAGACTCTGAACCTTATTTAGAATCCGCTTTGTCTCTCAAGCTTTCACTCAGGTGATCAGGTGTTCACTCACTAGGGAAGTATAGTAAATGATGTGCACATTCATTTCTACAGCGGTGATTTTGGCAGATGCCTAAACACTTCTGACGCCAGTTGCCAGCCCCCTCGGGTGCACAGGATATGACTATCATACCTCCGTCTCCAGCATAGTCAATCCCTGCTATAGGGAGAGACAAGGGGAGGAGCCTCTACTGTTACCTGGTGTCATACAGGAAATTGTTTTGCTCCACCTGAAGTAAAACTCCTAGACACCAGATCCACATCTTTACCCTTGTCAGCAAATTCACGCTGCTCTGGAATTCAAGCCGGCCTCCAGTGCTGGTGACCCACAACCCAGCCCAGCTTAACTTGCTGCCCCACAAGTAAGGAATGGGAGGAGGAAGAGATATGCCTAGAGATCTCTGCCAGCAGAAACTGAACCTCTGACCTCACCCATTGCCAACATCCTGCCTCCCCTTGGCTCGCAATGAACACTGTGCTCCTTAGGCAGCGTCCCAACGAGACTGGCTTTCTCTTTCAGGGGAAAGGAAAGCAACAAGACACAAAAACTATTAAACTGAGGCTTCTAACATACTTTTTCCATTTCACATCGCTCTACTCTATCCTCAGTATGAAGCTACTGCTCCAAGTTATGGCTTACAGTTGGGAGTATGCTCTTGAGTATCCACTCAATGCTTTGGCATTTGAAGAACCACTAGTTCTCACTAGGTGGCCCTATCAATCAGGAAGAGATTAATTCAGAAACTATTTTTAAAGATCGAATAATTTTCTAGGAGTGAATCCAATCCCTTAAGACCTTTACTGTTTTAATAACTGAGAAGTACAATCCTCATTAAGAATTACGGGACTCATCTGTGAGCTATGGATATAGCTATAAGATTGCAGGTTTAACTTTTCACTGTACTTCTGTCCTCCCACTTGCTGTTTTTCTCTATTTGTTCTTAGGACGTACTCCCCCACCTCATCTCATTTCAGAGTACTTTGTCTTTACCTTTGCAGAGTACCTACTACTCATAAGAAACTCAGGTACAAATCATTTCACAGGGTAAAAAACCCTAAAGAGTCAGCAAGTCAAGTATGCATGTACAAATACTCTTAATCTCTGTAGAAAATAACTGCTGTTTTCAAACACTGTAGTCATACAACTGATTTCAAGAGCTCACCTCAGATGTAAAGAGCATTTTCACCAGTTCTTTAGAAACAAAATGTATGCAATTATGATCTACTAAAACCTTGTTATTCTACTAACATTATTCTACTATCAGTGCTCACTCAATACCTGAAAAAGCTTCTGCTTCTCAGGAACTCTATTTTCAAACTGCCTGCGTGAAGCAGTGCTTATGGTCCTCTGGGAAATTTGGCGAAGACCCTGAAATAAAAGGTAAAGAGTGTTTTAAAAATAGTGAAATTTTTCAGCTATATCCACACTGGATAGAAATAGTTTCTTTTAAAAGTAAGATACAAGTGGAAGGGACAGGAAGAAAACAAAGTCTTTAAACACACAAACAAACAAAAATTCACCAAAACCCACTTGTTTTGAATTCAGTCAATCTTTCAAGAGACTACGTAAAGGACTAATTGACTGGTTACCTAAAAAGGAAAAACTCAGGAAGATTACTTTCAGTAAGATAAGACAGATTTATGGATCTGCAGCATAACCTTCATAATTAGCATCCTTCTGGTGGAAATCTCAACCTCAGCCCCTCAGATCTCTGTTTTAGGCACCATTTGCTGTGTCTGACTCTAGCGATGGGAAGAATAATATTTAAGACAAACGTGTTTGTGCAGACAAGAACCTTCTGTCATAGCTGCGGTTCATCTGCTAGCCACCAGCACAGGAGCTAACCTTGACAGAGCTGAAGGCACTCCCCTCCCGCACACAGACCTTAAAGACACCCTGCTGTGTCCTAAGGCAGAATCTGTTTCCACAGTCAGCTCATATAGGTGCTCGTTAGCACAGGTCAGGCCACCAAAAACAATAATCTATAATTCTCCCGATGGCTCAAAGCCTGCCTTCGCTTACGTGTCAAGTCTCAAAGTTAAGAGCCAGCTGTCCCTCTAAGCTGCCAGCAGTCTCCTCCAAGCAACACTGATAACGTTGATCCTCCCCCGCAAAATCACCACCACTAGAAATGCAGCCACGGGGCAAACACCCAGATGATGCGGGTTGCAAGTAACGGAACAACACACCTCCTCCCCTCGCCCGCCCCAAATAAACACACTGCAAAATTTATCTTCTTAGAGACGGACCCCAGGCCCACTGGCTCAACTCCCGCCCCTTCCGGTACCTACAGCTCAGCCCTGGGTGGAGCGAGTGGGCCAGGACCTGAAACGAAACACTTCCCCCCCGCCGCAGCTCCTGCGGCAGCACCAGCCGGCC